TTATTTCTTAGTGTCTAGATCATAAACGTATAATCACAAATGCAAAACAAAATTAAATGAATATAAAAGAAATTATTTGAAGATTTTACAAGAAGCAAATTTATATCAGATTTTTAAAAGATTGCAAAGTAAGTAAATATATAATGCTGCAAGTATTAGTAGATTATTCTAAAGTTTGATATAGCGATATTTAAAAAGTCATTTACCAGATTCATTTTACCATTTTGCTGAGACTAAAAAGTGTATTTAGATTTAGCTTTTTTCATTTATGTTGTGATTATTCACTTCAGAATTGCACCTAGTAAAAGTAATAAAAAGTAATAAAGTGAGTGTGAACTCAAAATAATTACAGTTATGTCAAGCTGAGTATTACCTATTCAATACTGACCAGGTATAGATTTATGGTTCAAAAAAATTCTGGTGTACAATCTAAATTACATATCTTTTTAAATTTTTATTCAATAAATGTTTAATTTTATGCCATTTTGTCATTTTATGTTGAACCTTTCCTTTTTATATTTAATATTTTACCTAACCAGTAACTATTATAGCTTCATGACCTAAGTAAAAAAAAAATCCATGGTTAAAAAAAATCATTTTAAAATGCTATGAATTCCTTTTCAGCTTTCTGTGTTTAAATGAATAAGCCCATTCATTGTGGTGTTTAAATGAATAAGCCCATCCATTGTGATAATGTTGCTTTTTTTAAATAAATATTGTTGAATTTTTTAGGACTCGCTTGGCGGTAATGCGAAGACGTTGATATTTGCTGCTGTTTCACCTGCGGACTCCAGCTATAATGAAACGGTATCAACTCTTAAAATGGCTCAGACTTGTCACAACATCACCAACAACGTCAAGAAAAATGCTGTATGTTAAACCAACCATATTTTTACAATAATTAAAGCATTTATTTATTTTTTAATCTTAAAGCTGTAAGGTACTTGCCACTGTACAGAATAGAAGTTTAAAACCAACTCTCAATATAGGGTGTCTGTATAGAGAGTGGTGTGGCTTCTAGTCTTTAGTCAAATCCTAGTTCCAGCATCATTTGATACCAAGTACCAGGATTGTTAACCAAGCATCTTAACCACCAAGTAACAACTTCACCCCAAAATGTGTTTTTGTTTTCTGTATTTTTTCTAGGCATTGATTTGATATTGGAATCAACAAAAAATAAATTTTTGTTTGTTGTATGATAACATTGGTTATTTGAGAGCTGGCCATAAAAGATAGTTTCAGGGAAGGAACACCCTCGTTATCACCATCGATAGATCTTAAAACAAAACATGTTTTAGCCATTACCTCCGAAACATGATTTACATGGAGTGACTGGTTTGGCTTGCCTTTGCCACATATGTTGTTGTAAAGTGACACTGATGACTTTTTTAGTATGGCTGAAATTAGCAAATACTATCAGCTAAAATGTATTTTTATCAATAAGATTCATTACTTAGTATTTCTATTTAATGTTTGATATTGGTTATACTTCTACACTTCTTTTTTATTGTTTGCACCAATTTTTATTTTTTTTGTCAGGATGACAGTTCACGAATGTTGAATGAGCTTCGAGATGAAATCTCCCGCTTAAGGGAAAAATTAGCCACCAGTAACTTGAATGATGCGACTAGCAAGGAAGATGTGATTAGAATGCAGGTAAAGTGTAAAACTCTATCCCCACTCATATGTTATAATAAAAAAATTGTTTGAATTGCCTATATAGGCGTGATGATGCCTTATCTGTGTATGGGAATGATAAAATCATTTCACTGCTACGATCGTTATCATTGCAAGTATAAACAGGCCTTCAGAATCATGAGCAATTCATAATGTCTGACTTCTATTTTCTGTTTATCAGGGCAACCTACTTTGAGATGTTGTTCCTGGAAAATGGTTGAATTTGTTAAATTTCATAAATTTGTTTGTAAATTATTATAGAGCCAATAAGAATTAACCATTAATGTTTATCCTGACAGGCAATTATTACATTTAGAAAAAAAATGTTAATATTTTAGATGTAGAAAAAACCATTTTGCACCCTGGACAAGCACATTTTCATGTTCGTTGCAACTAGCTTAGATAAATGTTTATGCCTAAATTGGTATAAATACTTTATGGTTTGATGTGTAACAAATTTTAAAACAAAAAATGTTGGTATCTAAGTCCAGGCTGAATTGCATGTACAGACTGATCTGTAAATTTAAAATAATTTTCTGATTGTTTTTAGGATCTAATCAAAGACCTCCAGATAGCTAAAAAGCAAACTTGGGAAGAAAAAGAGAGATTGTCTGTTCAGTATGAAGAAGACAGAAAAGTAAATCTGGCAAACAAGGTAAATATAAGTACATAGCATCTTGAATCTGTTGTGGTTCTGTTCTCATGATGATTTTGCTGGGTTTTTTTTTTTTTTTTTTTTTTAGCGTTTTGTTCTCTTCTCATTTTTAAGACATATATTGTGAGTTATATTTTCTTTTAAAGGGAATTTTGCAATATGTGATGGGAGACAGTATGCGGAAAGGGAACAAGGAAGTCCAGGAAAAGCTTCTCCTAATGCAAAAGGAAAGAGACCAGGTAAATATAAAGTGATTATAAATAATATTACGAACTAACAACCAGAACAATAAGTAAGCTAATGGTAACCAAAAAATGGTGTAGTAAATTAAATTTCTTAACACGTTGACTGCCAGACCTTTTTTTGAGATCCCTTCCCGTGTGCCAAAACAAATTTACATGTATGTAAAAACATACTTTTTAGAAATTTTATCTAGTCATGTATCATCAAAATAAATAAATAAATTGGCGAGAAAATATTAGGGGGCGAGTATACTCATTGACGGAACTGTGATAGAAGATTTTATTGACTATGCCAAGTGCGAGTTATCTCATCTGCTTTTTGCATGGGTTGGTACATGTTCAAATGGCGCCCCCACTTGTGCCGCTCGAGTTTACTACCGGCAACATTTCTACGTTATCGTCTAAGTGTATCTTCCCTGGACTACCAGCAGTTGAGTCTGTGGTTCTACACTGTATAACAAAGAAGTTTTATACGCTAGAATGTTACCCTGATTTTGCCGAGTATGCTCATTCCTGATGCCCTCAGCAACACCCTGTGGCCGCGTATACTCGTTGCTGGCAGCTAACGTGTTAATGAGTACACAGTTTCAGTTGCAGGATGTTTTGTTTATTCTTGTATTTTTGAGCAAGATGTATGCAGAGTACCTCCCGTTTTTTTTTATACTGGCAAAATAGTCAGTAAAGACCTTGAAATCTATAAAATCAATTAAATAAGCCTTTAAAGCCCCTAATTGTTGTATTTTTCGCCCAGACCACTTTTGAAACATTTTGAGTGACTCCTGACCAAGTCCACTTTGTTCATTTAAACTTGTATCGTGAAATTTAAATAAAAATGTCTAGGGTCGGACGATTTTTTAGGGAGGTCGGGTTATACCAACATAACATTTTTTTTTAGGCCTAATTACAATATTAGTAATATTATATCATATGATTGATTTCAGCTGCAAGAGGAGTACAAGGAAAAGCGAAGGATGGTGGACACTATGAAAGAAAACCTACAAATAAAAATTGTTGACTACACAAAAATGGCAGAGAAAGGTAGGCCTACTATTCTTTTCAAATGTCAGTTCCATGTGTTGGTACAGTAATTTAGTCTGATCAGCATTCATCCTGATGCCTTGAAAATATATACCCTGAATTCAATATATATACAGCAAAACGGCTGCGATGTTTGTGATATTCCTGTTGGTACAGATTTACAGTGGGGAAATTTGACATTAGTATGAACTTTGACCCTTGATCTTACAGATAAAGGAAATGAGGCAGAGACCAAAGCCAAAGTCGGTGAAATTCATGAACTTAAGGAGAAGATCAAGAAAGAGAGTGAAGTGGTGAAGGAAGTCAAGAAAAGACTCAAAGAACTGCAGGAGAAACAAAAAAGAGAAAAAGAGGTAATCACAATTAGTTGTTTAACACATATATTTATTTATTTAATTTATAGAGAACATAAAAGTACCGTAGTCTCATGGGGGGCTGAAAATTTACAATAATTGTCATGCTACATGGTCGGAAATGGCACTCTCACTTAAAATTTGAGTGTAATTTTCTTTTTTGACAATTTTGAAAAATTTAGGGGGTGTTCTTGTTAATAAATTCCTAAGAGATTTTTAATTTGCTTTAACTACAGGAGCTCAGGGCACAAAACAGAGATCTTCAATCAAATCCAAAAATGAGAGCAATGGTAATGGAAGAAGAACGAAAAAGACTGGAAATCGAAAACGCTGCTCTCTTGAAGGAAGAACTAGAAAGAATGAAACTGGAAGTAGACCAACAGAGAGCAGAAATACAGGTGAATTGAGTTAATACAGTATATAAATGAAGTCCCACATTTTTTGAAAGAGTAATATAAGCGGCAAAGACAAGCGAAAACAGTCCTCGCAAAAAAATTGATTTTTAGTGTTATTAATACCAGTTTAAGTAGTTAAATGAAAGTTATAAAATGATAAAAGAATAATTTAAATTCGATTATTTCCTTATGGAGTTTTGTATAGTTATTTTTCTATTGTTAACTTTTTATTGTGCTTTTTTAAAATTTGTGGTATTTTCTTCTGGCAAAGGCATATATGAGGTAAAGGTAGGAGAATTACCGTAACCCGCAACGTCATTGTGCTAGATTGTGGCCTGTGACTACCTAACAGCCGTAAAGAGGTGCTTATAGTAGCTACGTGTTCACATTATTCCAGGACAGGGGCTGAAGTAAACCATAACATCGGGGTGAACCCCTACTTGTCCGAAACAAGCAATGGATTCTTTAAAGAGCATGCGAGTTAGATGTATACACTGGGTCTCCATTATATGTCGTTATCCGAGAAAACTTGGCTCTACCAACCGAACCCTGGGTGAAAGCGTTTAGAACCAGCGCCGATGTTAAGGCTGTAGTTAGTGGCACCCCTGCCTTATCGTTCGGTCACTAACACGCAATATTTACAATCGTTTTTGTTAACTTTTTATTTTCCTTTGTATCTTTGTTGTCGTTTTTTAAAGTCTGTAAGGAAAGATTTATTTTTGCTGCCGGTTTGAATTTGAAATATGTAAATCGGCCTTCAACGTTAACGATTTGGGACATTCCCCAGGCAGAGACCATGACCAAAATATTACAAAATGTTGTAAACATCGAAAAAGAGTAAATAACAGCAAGGCTAATGTATAGATATATAAAGTTTGTACAGTAAAATAGATTTTGAAAATTAGTTTTTCCCATTATCTCTGAAACATGATTTGCGAGGAGGGAATGGTTCTGCTTGTCTTCGCCACATATATTTGCATACAGTGTTTTCCCAATTGAAACATTTTTACTAGTTAATTTTTCCATAAAAATTCAGCTATGTATGCAGTGTGAGTTTTACTACCCCTTTTAAGTTGGTTTAATGACTTGAAAAAACAACAGCACATTCAATCATAGCCTAGACATAGACTGGAATGATGATCATTTATTGAAAGATGCCAGCCTAGATCTAATCTTTTTTTTTTTTTTTTTTTAAATTAAAACATTTCTATGGTAAAATTGATGGCTAAAACTGCTTCAAAAGAACACTGGCATATTTGAAACCATTATTCTGACAATTGCAATTTTTTAGGTAATATTTCACATAGCAGATAAACAGAGTATGACACATTTATTATCTGTAAGGTCAAGAATAACTAATATTACAGTGTCATGAATATTAACCACAATAATGAACATTCATGACAATCTTTTAGATGAAAGTGGCACAGGGTAAGACTTACACGACGGAGGAAGCAATGAAACTTGAAATAGAGCTGATGAAGGAGAGGGAGGAGAGGAGCGTTGTGGCTAGGCAGCTTGAAGGGCTGGACTTGGAGAAGAGTGTCATACAACAAGAGCTTGACGAGGCTTACCAGAAGCATTCAGAGGAGCTGGAAATCCAACAACTACAGCATTTCCAAGTAAGTCAAGGCATTTTTTACTGTATTGATAATTCACCATGAACCTGTTTAGTACAAAATATTTCTCTTCTTTTTTTTTGTTATTTATTTGTTATTTGATTTTTATATAGTGCCTATTCCTTTAGGTTACAAAGTGCTTTGTTTTTTCCTGTTCATTGGGTCTGCATGCTTAAGTGTTGCTGCCATATTGGCACAGTAGCAGGCAACCCCACCAGGTTCCTATTTATACTCCTGGATAAAGTACCTTGCACAAGGATACATGCAAATTGCACAGCGAAGGATTGAAACCCCAACCAAAACGTTCCTGCTGTACCAAACCACTTTTTTTCAACCTTTACCACCACCTTTACTTTGAAAACCTATTTCAAGTCTTTCTAAAACCTTATGATCTTCAGTCTGTTACACTTAATAGTGGATAAATCTAACTTGTCTAAATTTTATTTTGTAGCGTGGCCCATAGGCTTAATTGTTTAGCTACTATACCCCATTTGCCGTCAGAATTACCCTCTTAAAATATGTCTACAGAATTTCATGGGTCATAATTGAAGTATTTCAAAACAAAAGAATCAAATCCAATTACAGTAGAACCCCTATTAAGGGGACAGTTTTAAAACAATAAAAGACATCAAAAACATCTTTAAAAAAAAAAAAAATTCATCCTTTAGTTGGCAAGTTACTCGCTGTTGGACACAAAAAACAATTACAGTATTTAAATCAACCTATTATGTGACTGATAGTATTTCTTTTCCTCTGCAAATCAAATTTGATATTAAATCGTTGCCTTTCTTATTAGACATTCCGCAATTATCGTGAGGTTTTTGAAGAACAGAAAGCGGCTTTGGAACAGCGCTTCCGTGGGCTCCTGGAGGATGCGATTCAAGATGCTGTATTTCTTTCCACTCGCAACGCAGAACTTGTGCAGGAGAATCAGGCTCTTCAACAAGGTATAGTAAATGCACTTTGAACTCATTAGCTGCTACTGCTGTTGCCAGGTGATCAATAATTGACACTTCACAAAAAAAAAAAAAAATATGTTGTAATATACATAATTAAAGTCATCATCCCCTAGATAAAGATGACAAAGAATATTTTCTGGAACATAATTTTGATAGATTACTAGCCTGTCATTTGCAAAGCATTTTGTACTTTTTAAGTTGATTAATCCTGATGTAGTGTACTACCACCAACGCTGTAAAGTATTTTTTTTGTGTGGAGGAATATCTCGAAAACCAACTTAAATTTATGCGGAAAAAAATCACTAGGAAAATAAGTGCGCCAAATCATATTTTTGGGCAGAAAGTGCATCAAAATCATGCATGCATGAAATTGTTTTCCGAAATGCACAGACAGAATTCTAGGCCTAATATATCACCTGTGCCAAACCTTATTTTAGAGTCTGGACTACCACTACCGAATGTATAAAATTTAACCCAAAATAATCTTTTCCAATTTCTTCTTTTTTTTTATATAGAAATTGCAGAGTACAAAGACAAGCTGTCAATCAAAGGTGGTGGAGCTGGAAGTCGACCAAACTCAAGTGTGACAAGGAATTAAATATTTTTATAACAAATCTAAGTATTCACCATGGAAACAAAATACAGTACCAACATTATATGCTCTAATGTGCACAAGGCCCAGTTGGTCATGTGAATCAGAATCATTTTCTTAGATGGGACGGGTTATAACTTAATTTCATTTGATTTATTTGTTTCAATACCTGTATAAATGATATTAGATTTGAAAGCGAGACAGGGACAATCAAGCCAACAAAATTGTCAAAAAAGGTGAAGATACCAATATTTATATAAAAGAACTGAGAACAAATTAATGGTTGGACCATTTAAAGGCTTAGCAGGCTACAGAGGGATAG